AGCGAAACGTGGGACGGGGCAGCGGAGCTGGGGGGGGGGGGGGGGGATTGGCGTGTCTAGTGCCCGTCCGGGGTGGGAGGAAGGCTCTAGTGTTTTCTTCTCCCTTTCTCTCTTGGCGGGGGCTCGTCTCGGGCGGTCTCGGTGTTGGGCCGAGGCCAGCGGGGAGGCCGCTGGCGAGGGTCAGGGAGAGAGCGGTTGAAGGGGTCGGGGGGGTTGAGAGAGGGGCGGGTGGCGACGACGCGGGTACTTACACTGCACCTGCAGGATCTGGTCGCTCACGTTGGCGCGGATGTAGTATTCGCTGTAGGGAGGCAACACCAAGCCCAGGCTGCAGGGGTGACAGATGTGCGGAGGAGAGGGGGAGAACGGGACAACCCAGTCAGAATGGTACAGTACCGCGCAGTTCATTCCCAAAGCACTCTCCTCGAACCTGAACTTGAACTTTATTGCCACGTGTAACCGGTCCATGTACTGGTACAGTGGAATTCTTAATGACAGAAAGTCTCGCGATTGTTAAAACAAGTGTAAAACACAAAGTGCAGACAGTGCATCAAGACAGTAGGCAAACAAACAGTAGACAATGTACAAGCAAACAAGTAAACAGTTTCAATGTAAACAATGACTGGAGAGGTGCAATAAATAAGAAATCGTGATGAGGTAGAGGGTGTAGGTGTGTTCCGAGGGGCATGGCCAGATGAGTTTGCCAATCGCACTGCGATCTGCTCGCGGGCTTGGACTGGGATTTTCTTTGTTTCTGCGGTCAGTCCTGGGCATCGAAAATATCCGGCTCCCGTTCCCAGCGGCCCCAGCCTCTCCTCATCCTGCCGGGCGCTAGTTCTGCCCAGGCAGCAGGTCTGCACTGAGCTCCCGTCGTGCTTCTTGTCGCTCCCCGTGGTGCTGATGCTGCTTGGAAGGACGGCGCCCGCTCGTGAGTCTGCGGCCGTCAGGCCTTACCTGTAATCCCCTCCGCGGCGACAGACATTTCCCCAGAGGCAGGGCAGTGAAAACATGGCTTTATGATGTGTGAAATGCAGACAAAACCCAAGGGAGAAACAGGAGGTCTGCACACTAGCTGTACATGTTCATGTTGGTGTTTGGGGGGGGGAGTGAGGGCGCTGTGAGGTGCCTTCCTCCCCATCCCTGAGCCCAGGCGCCTCACCTGTAGTCTGTGCCATTGACAGGTGTCCAGGTGTACGTCCGTACAGCCTCATCGATGTACCTCTGTGCGGAGAGACCAGAGAAGCCCATTAACGGAGGCCATTCAAAACCTTCAAGAGCCGGACTCCGCTATGCGCTTGCTGAGTAAGCTGTGTAAAAGAACTTCATGTCTTTCATGGGGTAGAAGCAGGCAAAAGGCTTCTGTAGAAAAACGCTGCTCAGGAGTGTAGTTATAAAAAAACTCCAGCGGACTCTACTCCTCTCCCTTCATCATTCATCTATTCATCTCAGAACGCCTGCTGTGTAGAAGACTTTGCCTGAATGATTTGGACTCGGTGTTGTGCACTACGCGGGGGTATTTCCGAAGTGTTTTCAGCTCAGGTAATGCCTGTGCTACAGAAGCAGTGGTGTGCTAGTGGAGTATGCATTTCACCTTTCCAGTCACTAGTGTCCTCACATTAGAATCTTTTTGCTGCTCACGTACTGTACAGTACGTGCTGTGAGACACTGCCCTGTACTGTGGATTTTTAGTCCTTTCTTTTGGAGTAAAGAACGTCATATCAGTAACACTAAAAGAAAAGCCAAGTGCAATGGTTTGTCACTTCTAAGGGGTTGGCCCTCTGCAGGCCAGAGGTCATACACCGAGATTACCGCACCCCAGGGGTACGCAAGAGTGGGGCGTGCCGACGACTTGCCTCGTCCACGGACTTGATGAGCGTGGTGATCCTCTTCTGCCCTGAGTGCCCGTCGATCATCTTTCTCCGGATCTGAAAAGAGAACGGAGCAGACCCTCAGCAGAGATGCTGAAACCCCCCTACCCTGGTTGGGCAACGCCAGCAGACAGTGTGCCTCCATCCTCCTTCTCTTAAAGCGAAGGGCCGGCCTCGCGGTCAGCGCGTGCCCTTAAACATTCAGGCAGGACGTCACGCAGCCTCTCGCCCTCCCTGCTGGCTGTAATTCCTGCCCGGGGCAGCTGGTTCGCACACACAGCACGCCCTGAAAGAGGAACCCCAGAGCTTCTGACAGTGCTCGTCCGCAGTTGGCAGCTCATGTCACACCAGTCTGGAAATGTCCGATCTGCAAGACAGTCCCTTCTGGAAAGCAGCTCTGCCTCCCTGCTGTACAGTTCTATCATGGCAGCCAGCTTGACACACTACTGTCTTATGTCTTGTGCTGCAGTAACAGCAGGGGTATCAGCTCCAGCCCTGGGCCCTGGGCATGCCACGCCAGCTTTTCAGGTGAGCTCTCTTATGTAGCTGAATGCTTAATTGACCTAACGATTCTTCAATTGTTTCCACAAGGTTTCACAGCGTACTTCAATTTAGTTCAATTAAGGACTCGATTAAGTGAAGAGCCCAGCTGGGAAGCTGGGAAGTTCCTGGGAGACGGAACCCCAGCGGCACTCCGTGCTGCTGCACCGGCGCGGGGTGACCTGGATCCTACCTCCTCCTTGTTCTTGTCCTCCAGCTCCGCGTCCAGGAAATCCAGGGTGACCGGCTCTCGGAAGTTAATGATCTGGCGGGAGGAAGAGAGGGTGAGAGGGTGAGACGGAGGAGAGATCCCGGAAGAGGCCGGACGAGGCCGAGGCCGAGAAGGAAGACGAAATTGACACGGTGATGTCCGCTTCTGGTCCTGCGTGCTTGCAACAGCTATAGACAGACACATGCAGAAAGGATAGACAGACAGATGCAGGCAGGTACAGTATATACAGACAGGTATATACAGTACTGTATGTACGGATAGATGCAGATAGGTTCAGTATATACTGTAAATATACAGTATATACAGACCGGTGTAGACGGACAGTATAAATATACAGTATATACAGACAGGTGCAGGTGCAGACCGTTACAGTATATACAGACAGGTATATACAGTATGTACAAATAGATGCAAACAGGTACAGTATATAAATATACAGTATATACAGACCGGTGTAGACAGACGGATACATAGAGGACAGACAGATATGCAGACAGGATACACACATAAATTGAAACATTTTGCTAAAAGTAAAACTCTTGGCAATCTTTTGGGATGTGAAGGAATGCATAAATGCAATTAATAGTGTTGTCAAAGATTCAAAACACAACTACTATGGGGGAAAAAAGTAATCGAAGCGTACAGAAGACTTTTTATCTTTAAATACCCCTCCTGCATTTCAAACAATTTGAAATCTAACTTGTTTTGACAAAACATGTCAATAAAAAACCATTGAAAGCTACGACAGACTTGTGTTGTAGACAGGCAGACCCCCCTGCATTAGCTCAGGAGCTGCTCTGTGATCTATATCACAGAGAGAGATGCACGCTGATTCCTAGATGTTACCTTGGGCTGCAGATTAGGGTGTAGGAGCACGTAGCCATTTGGATCAATGGCAAAAATGTACCCATTGGCTCCCAGCTGGAAAGACAGGAAAAAAGCAATGGAAATCAGGATTTTAACTTGGGAAGTTTGATAACGTTCGTCAGTCCCCATTCCAGGACTGGACTAACTGCAATACAGTTAAGGGCCGTACCATATATTCACACCTGGCTGGAATTTGAAAGAGATATAAACCCAAACCCCAGATGAGTAATCCTTGTGACCATGTGGAGTTTCCGAAATTGGGCCTTCAGCTCATAATCAGGTTATTTAATTTAGTCATATTCAGTCAAACAATGACCTCCACAGTTAACAGGGTGAAACCAGTTGAATTGGTTTTTGATGGTCATGTCAGTGTCCTTATAAAATGTAATTTAAAAATTTAAAAATTTTAAAAATATATCCTTTTTAAAAACTGTTAGTGCGGTCTAGTCTAGCTCCCTGCATCCATCAGCGCCATACGTACGTTGTAGCGCGGAGTCAGCTTCTTGATGTCGTTCAGAGGGATGTCCACGCCCATCACGCCCAGGATCAGCTGGTTCTGAAACAGACAAGCCAGGCCAGGAGGGGTTAGACTCCAGACCAGCCCATGGAGGATGAAAAGCCCGCTCCCTCCCGTCCTGGGCCAGCGATGGCACAACGAGGGGACGGGGGGAGAGAAGGGGTGTGCCCCCCTGCAGGGACGAGCCAAAGGGTCCAGACAGACAGTGTCCCCCTGTTAAAAGAGTTTCTGCTCTTATCCAGCACAGATTCCTGCCAGCAGGATCCTGCCCTTTGGAAGGTCGAACCCGGGTCACACAGCACACACTGCACCTGGAGGGGCGATCATGGCAGTGCTGCGTCTCTCTGTGCTTCATGCGCTCACAGCTCTGTTTCAGAGCTTTTAGACCTGAGTGCAGCATTTTACGCCGAAGTTCAGGCGGGGAGCTGCGTCAGCACGCGCAGGCTGCAAAGGAACAAGTGATGGGTTTATTCCCTGCTGAGAAGAGGGGAAAGAAAACACAACTGTGACACCTGGAGAAGGCTCCACAGCCCAAACGTTGTGTTTTCTTTCTTCTCCTTTCAGCAGGGAATAAACTTTTATTATACAGTATCTCATCAGCAGACAGGGCTACGTCCATTGGAGCTTCATGGACTTCCAGAGAGATGACAACCGCTGGGGAGCTCACTGTCTGTTGGTTTGCAGGATATATCAGACCTCATGGGTCCGGTGCAATGCGTGTGTTAAAAATCCTGGGAGGGGGAATTTCTTTCAAAGAGCTTTTAATTTCTAACACTCCCTCCCGGCTCTCCGCGTCCTCGGCCCCTGCCTTCGGCTCTTCCAATCTCAAGTCTATTTTCATCAACATGAAACCTGACCTTTTTCGGTTCGGTACCTCTCAGAGACAGGAGACAGGCAGGCAGCCCCCCTCCCCCCCCCTTCCCCACCTCTCCCCGTGAAGTCTCAGTCACAGACATCTCTCCCCCCCGGCCTGCTCCTTAGCTGTCCTCCGGCTCTGGGCCCCCGGAGCTGGGAGGAGGAGCTGCACCTGCTGTCCCATGATGCTGTGCGAGTCCCGAGCACCTCACAAGCCCCCAGCAGGGAGCGTCTTTTTACCTGTGTGTGCGTGTGTGTGTGTGTGTG